TTTTTAATTGTATCGTTACTCCCCTTTTAGAAGGAATTTTGTCCTCAAGGTTCATATTAAGAAATTGTTCTCGGAGGAGCGCGGTTGTTTCCTAGGGAGCATCTTTAATGGGTAACTGACGCCATTTGACCAAGCTTTCTTTTGTAAATTTGTAGCCTCTTTTAATCCACCAGGTCTCGATAATGTATTCAAGATATAGGAGGATGTCACCGTCATCACTAGTAAGAGGCAGGTCTGTTGTTGGAGTAGTGACATCATAAATTTTTCTTTGAAGCATAGAGACATGAAAAACAGGGTGGATACAGAATGACACAGAAAGTTGTAACTTGTAGGCCACATGTCAAATGCATTGAATAATCTGGTAGGGACCAAAGAAACAACATGCTAATTTTTGGGATGCCTGTTTAAATACAGTGTGTTGGCAGTATGGTTGTAGTTTAAGAAACACCTAATCACCCTCTTAGAATTCGATGCCACATTGTTTAGAATTGGTCAGTTGTTACATGCAGTGATGACCATCTATAAATTGGTTTTGAGTCGCTTTAATAGTGCATATCTATTAGTTAATTGTATATCAACTTCATTTACGGGGGTAATGTTTGCTTGGTAATTAGGGATAGTTGGCGACGAACGACCATAAACTGCTTGAAAAAGGGTTATCTTGATGGATGAAAGGATATAAAGTATGTACCAATATTTCATCCAGGGTAGTATAGTGGTCCAAGTACGAGGTTTCTAATGGCATAGGCAACTGAGATATTGTTCAAGACTCTTATTAATGACTTTTGATTGTCCATTAGTTCGCAGATGATAAGAAGAACTCATCTTGCGTTGAGTGCCAAAGAGCTTGAAAATTTCTTATAAAGACGGTTGATAAAAAAAGGGATCATGATCATTGACCATTAAACAAGGCATGTCGTGTAATATGGCAATTGGCAATGGTGTCTACACATTTTTTAGCGACTATCTTAGCAGTATAAGGATGGCTGAGTGCAGTAAAGTGAGCGAATTTACTAAGATGATTCACCACCACCAAAATTGTACTCTTGCCATGTGACATAGATAATCCTTTAAAAAAATCCATAGCTACCTCCTCCTAAATCTGATTAGGAATGGGTAATGGTTATAAAAGTCTTGCAGGAGATAATGTATCTAACTTGGCCGCTTGACAAATATCACAAGCAGCTATATACTCTCTAATGGATTGATACATGGACGACCAACAGAATTATTGACGAAGTCTTTAGAAAGTATGTTGAACCCCTGAATGTCCCCACTAGGTGAATTATAAAATTCACTTAATAGTTGCTGCATGATGTCTGATTAAGGAGTTATAACAACTAGGTTCTTGAAATAAAAGAGTCGTCTTTTCTTACTATAAGGATTACCTGGATTTTCTGTAGCAAGCTTGTTAATTTGTAACAAATATGGAAGAGTAAAAATAGCTCTGTAAATATTGTCCTATTAGGAAGTCTACAGAATCCATAAAACATCTAGAGTTGGACTAACCTCTTTTTGTGAAAGTGCATCTGCAACATAATTTTCTTTACTAGGTTTGTAGCGAATTTCATAATCATATCCAAACAACTTTGAAACCCATTTATGTTGTTTTGTTATAGAGATTCTTTATTCAAGTAAATATTTCAGGCTGCGTTGATCAGTTTGTATATAGAACTTATGTCCTAACAAATAAGATTGTCACTACTTAACTGCTATAATGATAGTTAACGTTTCTTTAGCATATTTAGACCAAGCTTGCTTAGATACCCCAAGTGCTCGACTCATATATGCAATAGGTTGACTATTTTGAGAGAGAACTGTTCTGATTCCTTCACCTGAAGCATCAATTTTCATGATAAATGGAATGGTGAAGCTAGGTAGAACCAATGTTGGTGTAGATGATAAAGCTTATTTGAACTGTTTAAAAGTATTTTCAGTTTCTTCTGACCATCTAAATTGAATCTTCAAAAAATTAATGAGGGGACGAGCCAAAATTTTGTAATTTCGGACAAATTTTCTGTAGTAGCCCATTAGTCCAAGGAACCCTCGTAGTTCAGTGATGTTGGTTGATCGTCGCCAGGCAACCATTGCTTAAATTTTATTCTGGTCTACTTTCACACCTTGTAGAGTAATGATGTGGCCCAAGTACTCTAATTTATGTTACTTGAATACACATTATTTTCTTTTAACAAAGAACTGATGTTGTCTAAGTATCACCAAGGCCTGTCGTACATGATCAAGATGTAAAACAAAACTAGAACTGTAAATTAGAATGTCATCGAAGAAAACTAACACAAACTTATGCAAGTAACGCTGGAATATGTTATTCATGATGGCCCGAAAGTTGATGGCATATTACAAAATCTAAAGGGCATGACTAAATACTTATAGTGTCCATTATGTGTTTTGAAACCCGTTTTATGAATATCTAGTGGATGCCTTCTAACTTGGTGATAACTCACTATCAGATCGAGCTTGGTAAAATATTGGGCTCCATGTAGTTCATCCAATATATCTTAAACCATGAAAATTGGGAACCGGTCTTTAATTGTAACTGAATTGAGAGCTCGATAATCTGTACAAAACCACTATGTGCCATCTTTTTTCCTTATTAACAAGGCTAGTGATGAGAAAGGGTTGGTACTTGGTATAATCAATTCAAAATCGAGCATTTTATTAACATGCTTCTTAATTTCTATTTTTTAAAAGTGTGCATAACAGTAAGGCCATACATTGATTGGGTTGATGTCTTCACGGATGTTGATATGATGTTCAATTTTTTTTTGCTGGTGGTAGGCCTTTTGGTTACCGAAAAATATCAGCAAAGTCATCCATAATTTTATGTAGTGTCGGTTGTACAGGTATATGGTCAGGTTCTTTATTTATGGTTATGCAGACGGCTAGAAATGAATGCCTCTTCACACATCTCGACCGATGGTTTTGAAAGGGACTCACTATAATATGGGAGAACCAATTCCACAAAGTTGTCGCTGCTGACCATGCCACTAGAATTCCATGGTCATCTTCTTCCAATCACACACAATAGTCCCCAACTTTGCTAACTATTGCACTCTTAACACAAGGTTAATGCCAATCAGTGGTAAAACATATAATGTAAGGTAAAAAAGAATACCTTGTAGATCGACTGACACATTTTTGAGCCGTCTGCTGCACTTCATCGAAGTTCTACTATTATTCTGAACAGAAAAGGATCTGTCGGCACCACCGGTAATCGCATGAGATTAGCAACTCGTTCACTGATAAAGTTATGGGTAGATCCGTTATCGATGAGAACCATGACTTCACAATGCCCGATGGTTGCAATCAGATGCATGATCTAGGCAGTCGACCATTCGGTCAAAGCATGTAAGGAAATCTCGAGTTCATATATTTCCTCGTTGTCAACTTCCCCTTCTTCGCCCTCCAACAACATTAATTGAGGTTTGCGGCAACGGTGGCCAGGCACAAACAATTCACTGCAATTGAAACATAAACCATGTGTGTGCCGTTTCTCTATTTTTTCCCACAAAATACGTTTAGTAGCAGCGATCAAAGAAGCAACGTTTGGAGGAGATAAAGTGGTTAGGATTTGTGGAACTAGTATGGTTTAATAGCCCCAAACTGAGTGGACCAACATTACCGGTCTAACTGCTCTTTCCTCATTCGGACCAGACTAATGGCCTCTTTTACGGTTTTGAGCTTGAACATTCTTATTCATTTAGAGATGTCAGGCTTAAGCCCACCCAGGAAAGTGCCAACAAGAGCCTTTTGGGTCCACTGCAGACTTGATTACCCAATCGTTCAAATTCTTTGTGATACTCGCTGAGTGGGCTAACTTGATGGATCCTGAATAGGGCCTTATCAAAATCTTCACACTCAGTAAGCCCAAATCGAGCCCACATTTCATCAACAAACTTGACTCAATCAATCACCCTTCTTTCTTCCTTCAATGTTCGCTGTAACCACTACCACCACTAGTTAGCCTCTCCTTTCAGGTGGAACGTCGCTATCGATACTTTGTGCTCCTCTGCGGTATTCTGTAACTCGAAAAATTACTCCATTCGATTGGGCCATTCTGTAGGATCTGTACCTGCAAATGTGAAAAAATCAAGCTTAATTAGTCGGGACTCGAACAACGGTCGAGATTCATCAGGTCTTTCGATGCCGCCTCCGTTGTGTGGTTGAATCAGGTTAGGACAGCCTGCTAAATGACTGCTCGACCCTTCTTCGCTCATGGGTAGCGAGTTAGTTAGTCGATGGAGAGTATACTTAATCAGATAGAGCTTTTCGGTGATTTCGGCCTCCATCTAGCTGAAGCTATCTTGAAGACCCCTTACACTAGCTTCTAAATTCTCGATTTTCTCTTTATTGGTAGCCATAGGGATTGCTCTGATATCAATTATTATGGTCTCAGTCAGAACAAAGATTAAAGAAACAATTCCTCTTAAAGTGAGAAAAAGACCTTAATTTGATTCAGTAATTTCAAAATGTTTTCTTCATTATAAGACATGTTTAAATATAAATTAAAGGTAATTGTTTTCTTTCTATTCAAGGAACATGGAATAGAAATAATACAAATGAAATAAAAGAACTACTTGAAATTGCTTAAAACTACTTAAAACTACTTGGAACCGTTTTGTGTTCTGATCCATGTGCACGCCTGTTTGTCGGTTACTTATTGATACTTAGGATTTGGTCTTTGTTTTCTTTGGGACTTTCAAATTGTACCACATTTTCTTTTTGTGAAAGAGCCTTTTAGTTTAAGACAAAAAATCCTTTACAGTGTGTTTGTATAATGGGTAATTAATATGATTGTTTGGGTGGTATTTGGTGGTATATTATTTTTTTATTTTTTCTGCTTTTTTTCAAACCACCAATTCTATAGTTTTTAATGGTTGAATATTTGTTTACTGTTTTACCCTCACAAACATTTGTTAATTCTTCTTTTACCCTTATTTTGTTTTCTTCCCCAAATATTGTTTTCTTTGGCAACGACAAACCCGACCTGCTTCTGTTTTGTCCACCGCAGTCGTTCTCATCTCATTCGAGTCCACTTCCGCTTCCTGAGTCAGCTTCTGCTTGTTGCAATCGTCTCCGTTGGTGTTAGCTCCTTCTCCTATCCTTCTTTCAATCCTGGTGGGTGATGATTTTTTGTTTTTAATAATTAGTTTACTTTATACTGATTTTCTTTCAACTTAAGACGAAAAGAGAAAATGAAGATGATAACTGGTGATGAGTTTTTCATTTTGCTTTTCTTCTTCAACATGTTACTGTTGAACCTATGTTGTTTATTTTTCGTTGTTTATCATCTTTATGAAGAGAATCAGAATTTTTTTAGATAAAAAGAATTAAAATTAAGAAATTAATTAAGTATAAAATAATTAGAAAACCACCAAATTCTTATTGGAAAACAAAATTTTAACCTTGAAGAGCTTCTCTTATTTTTTGCTTCTTTTATAAACCCTAATTTTACTGTTGAACCTTGAAGATGATAAACAGTGTTGTTTATTTTTCGTTGGTCATTAGGGTTTTCATTATGTTGAACCTATTGTAGAAACCCAGCAAACTCATACTTGCATTCTTTTTCGTTGGTCGTTCGAATACGTTTGTTCGAACATTTCTGCATATTCTTTTTCGTTGGTGTGCTTAAGCATTTTCCAGATGGATTGTACCGTTTGTTCTTGGCTGGGATGGGTAAAATAATAAGCAGATGGTTATAACGGGTACCATGAATCATCTATTTCCAGATTTTCTTAGAATGTACTCTATTAGATGGCAGAGAGTATTAGAACACTCTTCTACTTCAGTCTGCATGCTTAGCTCATTAGTTCAATTTTGTTTTTGTTGCTAATCTCTTTTACTTAGCTCATTAATCTAGAGCATTTTTAGCTTATTTTCTTTACTAATGTGTGAGTTATAGTAGAGAGTTTAAATTCATTGAATTCAAGGTTAATTTGTTATTTGATATTTTATTCACATTTGCTTTCTTTAAATCCTGTTTCTGTTCTTTTTGTTTTGAATCTCAAAAAGTTCTGGGGGTCATAGAGTTTGTAGACAGTTTTGAGAGTGCAACTGAGGTTGCTCTTTTTTATATTGGGTCTTATTGTTAATTTTGTTCAAGTGCTTTGCTCTTCACTTTAATGTTGTTGCCCTTTTACAATATAGGTTTCTTAGTTTGTGCTCCTCACTTATTTGCAATTGAGGTTTCTGAATTTCTGTTGCACGTTATAAGTTACTTACTAATCGTAATTACAACTTATTTCATCCTTGGCTTTTCTATCTCTCGTTTATAAATGCCTTCACCATTACAAAACTTTGTATGACTTTTTTTATGGACATAGATGTCTTCAATACTGGTTAGCTTTATATATATATACACACACACACACACACACATATATATACATTTCCGATTCTACAGTATGCTCATTATATTTTATATATATATATATATATGGGTGTATATGTTTGCCATAAACTTAACATGAAACTCTCCCCTATTTAGCTCCATTTCCTGCAGAGTTTTGTTTCAGATTGACTCTCCAATAACATATATATATATATATACTGCTCGGCCAAGTGTATATATTCAATTCTGGGTAAATTAGTAAAGGTAATAATGTAAACAAAGAGTAATAATGTATGATTGTTGACTTTGATTTTGTTGGTAAGTTGGCAAAAAAAGATCAATTACAGGCAATTTATGTGTTTAATTTACTTTTTTAGGGTATGCCATTACTTGGAGAACAACTTTACAAATCTATATATATAGTTGCCTTACATAGCTAGCTACCACAGAGATAGAACAGGTGGCTACTAATTATCTTCAAGCTAATAAGTTAAGCTTTATGGTCTGGCTAGCTTCAAGGTCTGGTTATTGGTCTCAAATTAGAGAAAATTATTAAATTAAGAATGATGTTTTGTGATAATAAAAGTACTAGAATCTATTTAAATTATGAAACCAATAACACGATTTTCTAGTAATTAGAATTTTTATATTTTACTTGAAAGTCATAAATTCAAAACTGACTGAGAATGTAGAACTCGTCACTTATACATGTGTTATGGGTTATGGAAATATTCAGAGCATAACCAGCATCTAATGCTGAATTGAACAAAAAACAAGGACAGCTCTACCTCCATCAACAAAAAAAAAGAGTCCCATTCACGTGGTACCCTCTTGGTACAATGTTAATAATACTTTACTAACTTTTATTTCAAAAAAAAAAAGGAGGATAATTGGTCCTCTTAGTTGTATTTTTTTTCTGTTCCAATATACCTTTTTTCTGTTTCTTTGTTGTTTATTAATAGCTGGAATATTCTTGTTTATTTGATTAAACTAAAGGGAAAATGAGATATGGGATCCTTTGGATTCGTCTTCTTTGTAGAGTAGGTGCGTGTATATGTATGTACGTTATAGAGTGTGTGTGCTGTCTTTGATTAGTCAAGGCACACATGTTGGAGATAGTGTGTTATGGTGGTGCAATATAATTATATAATTTTGTCGTTTGTTTGATATTAATATCATTGTTTGACAATATATAATATCATTATTTAACAAAATCTTGTCGGTGTTGAATTACTATAATGACCTTATAGAAAAGTTATTCTTTTAGGCAATGACCTGTATAGAGTTGGGATTTGAGAAAACTTATTCTTGTTTTTTGTTTCCCCGTAAGGTAGAAAAAATGGATCTTGCGGAACATGTAGCTATTTTAATAGGATACTTTGTCATGCGTGTTGTGATTTTTGTTCATAAAAGGAGAAAGCTTGTGCTTATTCCTGAATTATGACTAGAGAGAAAAAGTTCGAGATAAACTGATGAAAAGTTTGATCTCAAGTGAGTTTTGTTGCACATCATCAGGATGAGAGCTCCAACCTTTATAAATTTACGTCGTTTGCTAGTTATAGATGGTTGACTTAGACACACTGTTTGTGCAACTATTGAGGAACAAGTTACCAAGAAACTTTACTTATTAGGACGCAATGAGAGAAATCGAGTCCTATCTTAGCATTTTCGACAATCCGGAGGGACAAATCTCCATTTCCATGTTGTGCCACGATGTATAGTACAAATGACAGATAAATTTCTTATTCAGCCAGATGAATTACAAGTGCCTTCGGAAATAACTAACAATTCTAGATTTTTTTCATATTTTAAGATAAATATATAAGTTATAATTTTTCATAAATTACAATTATAATTAAGTTTTTTTTTTAAATAAGTATAAGTTTAACTTATTAGAGAATAATTAATTTCTTGATTGTGTTTGTACAATTGACATAATATATATACGTGTGAAAGTGTTTAGAAGTGATGCCCTAAGGTTTCATTTGAGAAAAGATTACCCAACACAAAATGTATTGGCAGCTTATACATTCGATTTGAAATTTACATACAATCTCGCCAAGTGGGAGGGGATTGCATTAGATTCAAGAATATTAAAGCGTGCATTAAATAGACTTGAGAATTAGAAGGTAATAAAAATATATTAAATTTTAATATGTAATGTATAAATTTAAAGAAAAAGTTCTTACTCAATTTATTCATTGTTTATAGGTAAGTTTTACCTCGGAGATGTTGATTTCATGTTGCGGGGGTGAAATAATTACTCTATATAGAGGAGAACGTACCATTTAAGTGAATACTCAAGGAATCCACTAAACAATGCTCGTGAGCTATTTAATATTCGTCATGCTTCTTTACGTAATGCGATTGAACGTGCATTTGGAGTTCTCAAGAAATGTTACCCAATTATTTTAAGTTCTATTGAATCTCATTATCGTCTCAAGGCTCTTAATGACATTATATTTGCTTGTTGCATTTTACATAACTACTTACGGGGAGAGGATCCAAATGATGAACTTTTTGCAGAGGTTGATGAAAAACTTCAACATATTTATCATGATGAACGAAGTCAATATAACATTAGAGATAGTATTGAGAAAACAAGAAGGGGGGAAGCTATTAGATATCATATAGCAGCTTATATGTGGGCTACTTACAATACTTGATTACATTTTGAACCAAATGTGTTGTTTATGATATTTGTATAGTTAATGACTTGTGATATATTTGAATGTGTTAATTGAATAATATAATTTGGAACTTGTATGTTATATGATTATATATGTTGGTTATATCTATTTGTGCTGAATGAAATATGACTACATTAGTATATGATTATATCTATCGATGTTGTATGATATATGATTAGATCTGTTGGTCTTGTGTTATATGTTTTAGAAAATGGCAAGGAGGAAAGATTTGCAGATGGAGGAAACAACACTGTCCATTGGAGAGATTCTATGGATGATGTATTGGTAGACGTTTTTTACGATCAACATATGTTGGGCCGTAGATCTAGTGAGACATTTACCACACAAGCTATTGATTGCATCGTGACTGCACTGAGGAATGTATTTCCAAACACAACTATTGATAAAGAACATATTCACAACCGCATCAAAAATTTAAAAAGACAATGTTTCAAATGGTATGATGTTTTCAAACATGGATTGAGTGATCTGTAATCCGACAATTAAAATATTTGAAGTAGAAAATGAGGTGTGACAGCAATTAATAGAGGTAAATCACCTAGTTTATCACATGTTGGTTGCATTGTTTTGTACGACTTAAATGTTAATATATTCTTTCATCTTAGGTTCAACCGGAAGCAGCTGAATTGAAGAATAAACGTGTGGGGAATTACCACAAAATATTGAAAAGGTATGAAAAGGACAGAACAAATGGGGGTAGTTGTGAGACAACAATTTCCAGTCAATAACAAAGGAAGAGGAGTGGCAATGAACATGCAATGAGCGCCGAAGAGGT